TTTTTGTCCAAATACGACCTAATTTAAGGGTGAGCTAACAACATTTACTGAGCCCAGGTACACTTTCTTATTTAAACCTTTAAACCTTGGGTGATTATCTAGATTTTATAATGCACAAACAGGCTGGAAGAGTTCAAATATCTTGCCCAAGGTTAGAGTTAGTGATACAGTTTGGCTGTGTCTCCACCCCAACCTCATCCTGAATTGCAGCTCCCATAATCCCCACATCATGGGAGGGACCTGGTAAGAGGTAACTGAAACATGGGGGCAGGTTTTTCACATGCTGTTCTCATGATAGTGAATAAGTCTCACAAGTTCTGATGGTTTTATAAAGGGCAGTTCCCCTGCACATGCTCTCTTGCCTGTGCCATGTAACATGTGTCTTTGCTCCTCCTTCGCCTTCCACCATGATTGTGAGGCCTCCTCAGCTATACAGAGGAGTCCATTAAACCTCTTTTTCTTTGTAAATTCCCAGTCTCGGGTATGTCTTTATTAGCAGCATGAAAATGTACTAATACAGAGACTATACTACTACTACTTGCTCTCTGCAAGAGCAGAGTCAAGGTTCAAATCCATGTCCCACTCCACATTCTTCCCAGTAAAAATGTTACCTCCATATAATGGACTATACTTAGTTGTTTAAAAAGACTGAGTAGCACAAAGCTAAACATGCACACACCCCCACACATAAACAAATGAATGCATGTCAACTGCTAAAAATCTGAATAAGGTCAAAGGACTGCACTAATGTCAATGTCCTGATATTACATCACAATTATGCAAGATGTTACCTTTGGGAGAACTGGGTAGAGGGTACAAAGAATGTACACGTAAATCTACAATTCTCTCAAAATAAAAATTAAAAAAGAAAAGACTTGGTAGGTCTATATATACTGCCATGGCAAGAATGTTAAATTTTAAAAAATGGTCATGGAACAAAATACATATTATGATCCTATTTAATTTTTTAAAGTGTATATGTATATATGTACAAATACGCATTAGAGTCGAGGCACAGAGTCAAGGCAAGAGGTGAGTTTACTGATGATTTCTATCAACCTCTCACTACTACTTTAAGTATTTTATAAATTTCCTACAATGTGCATTTTTACTTTAATAGCTGGGAGGATACCGTTTCCAATTTGAAAGTTTTTTTTTAAATGAGTGTGGAGGTAGCAGCAGCCAGCCCACACTATTACCTTCACAGTGATACCAGTGACTAGAATTCACACCTCTGTACTTCTGAACTTTGGCAATCACTTCAAGAGTTTAAATATCACCTGCTGTTGCTTCAGTGTCAGGCTTGATGCCAACCCTGTGAACGCTGGCTATTTAACTCATGCTGCAATTGGCTCAAATCACGATATCCCAAAAAGATCCCAATACATGGGGGAAAAAATGCATTTACGTGTAGTTGTGCACCATTCAAACTACATATGCCTCACAATGAGATAGTCAACACAGGTGTATTGTGTGCATTTACTCACACACAATCAGAGGAGTGGAAAGAACATAGGCTTTGAAGACAGACTTGAGTTCAAGTCCTGCAAAAACTCACTGATTAGTAAATCTGCTACCTCCTTGGGCAAAGATTAAATGAGGGTTCTCTGAAGAGCCAACCTGACATGTATAACCTGAGGAGTTACAACAGTTCCTGATCTCTGTGTGCTGCAAGATAAGAAACCCGACCAACACTGTACATTGTAAGACCTCAAAACTCATTCTTAGAGTCTTTTGACTAAGACAGGGGTTATTAAGTTAAATGTATGTAATAAATCTGGGTAACATTTAAATTTATAAGATTCCTTTCTTTCCTTTAAGGCCCGTCATAACCAGTAAAATATCACAATGTTTATACCGCTCTCTCTGGTTATCAGCAGCCAACAGATTTTTTCCCAAGCAATGGGAAACATAATTTCCCTAAGAATTCAGCTTCTGAAGCTTGTTATTTTCTAGGCAAGGAAAAAGAGAAACAGTCTAAAGTGTAATCTTAGCTCCATTTCATCAACCACTGTCAAAATGGTGAGCGAAGGCAAGTCTGAGATTCCAAAAGCGAAGATTTGTCTATGTTCCTAGCGTACCATGATTTAAGCCAAATTACTTCAATTATTCTTACTGTGACTCAAAGCTCTGCAAAAGATAAGGCATGGGATATGAATTTTGGGAATCAGTCTTAAATCAGATTTAACTTCTAACTTCTACATTACAACCAAAAGCAACATCAGTGCAAGGGGTGGGAGGAGGAAGCTTTAGGCAGTATGGACTTACTTTGATGATGAAACTTTATTGATTTATTAAGTTATTAGTGATAGGTATAAGCTGTGTAGGAAAACTAGAAACATGAGAAGAAACATGTTAAAATAATTTAAAACATGAAATTAAAAATAGGAAGAAAGAGGGGCTGACCAGCAGGAGTCCTTGTAGTACAACATTGTGGGGATGGAGGGAGGAGAGAAAAGGCAGGTCAAAAACATCAAGGTCTGGAAAAGAGCAGCTGGGACCAAAGCAGCCAGGTAAGGGAGATATGGGATGACAGTAAAAGCACAGCCTTTGGAGTCAGATTGGCTCTGCAGTCAAATCCTAGCTCTATTACTTACCAGTTTTGGGACCCTGAGCAAGTTACTAGAAACTAACTTGGATTTCCTCAGCAGTTAAGAAAAAAAAAAAAAAAAAAGGATATTAATCATACTTACTTCATAGAGCTGCTGTGCAAATAACTGAGATAATCTATGGAGCGCACTTAGCAGGCCTTGGCACATAGTATGTGTTCAATAAATGTCTCTTGCTATTATTAGCAATTACTACACTAAAATCTTGGCTCTGCCACTTGCTAACTGTGTGACAGTGAATAAGCTGCACACCCTCCTGAGTCTCAAAACCTCACAAATATGGTTGGGCGCAGTGGTTAACTCCTGTAATTCCAGCACTTTGGAAGGCCAAGGCAGGCGGATCACTTGAGGTTAGGAGTTCGACACCAGCCTGGCCAACATGGTGAAACCCAGACTCGAGTAAAAATACAAAAATTAGCCAGGCATGGTGGTGGGCTGTAATGCCAGCTACTCAGGATGCTGACACAGGAAAACTGCCTGAACCCAGGAGGCAGAGGTTGCGGTGAGCAGAGACTGCGTCACTGCACTCAAGCCGCAGCGACAGAGTGAGACTCTGTTTTTTAAAAAAAAAAAAAAAAAGGCCGGGCGCGGTGGCTCAAGCCTGTGATCCCAGCACTTTGGGAGGCCGAGACGGGCGGATCACGAGGTCAGGAGATCGAGACCATCCTGGCTAACATGGTGAAACCCCGTCTCTACTAAAAAAATACAAAAAACTAGCCAGGTATGGTGGCGGGCGCCTGTAGTCCCAGCTACTCCAGAGGCTGAGGCAGGAGAATGGCCTAAACCCGGGAGGCGGAGCTTGCAGTGAGCTGAGATCCGGCCACTGCACTCCAGCCTGGGCGACAGAGCAATACTCCTTCTCAAAAAAAAAAAAAAAAAAAAAAAGTACAAACACAAGAGGGATGATGATTACCTTCCCCATAGGGTGGTGAAGATTAAATGAGATAATCCACATTATCTTGCATTATTACTTAGCACAGAGCACACTTAGCACTCCTAACTGTGGAGGTATTTATCATTACCATATTGAGGAGGGGGCTAGAAAATCTCCCAAATCTGGTAGAGAATTTCCCTTTAATTAGACTGAGCGAATTCTATCACTAAAGACCACCCACAGTTTTCCTTATTAAAATCATCCAAGTTCTTTCAGCTGCAAAGTCCTCACCTCACCAGGGGTAAGGATCAAAGAGACAGCCACTTACGCCAAGTGAACACTTACCTGGAATTCCTGGGTCTGTGCTTTCTGCAGGGCCTCTCTGGCTTTAGCAAAGGCAGCACTGAGCTTTTCAATTTCAGAGTTAAGTTCTTCAACCTGGGGAAATATAACGAATACCAGCCAAGTATCTAACTGGGCTCTCCTCTCTGCACAGCCCACACGCTTTTCCTGCTCAATTGTGTCGTGCTTATAATCAAGGTCTTTGTAATCAGAAAAGATCCGAGTGGGATTTCCAGTTTAGCCGTTTACTAGCTGGATAACTTCAGGCAAGGTACTCAACATCTTGGAGACTCCATTTCCTCAACTGTAAAATGAGGGTATCACCACTCACCCAGCTATTGTGTTATTAGGGTTAAACGAGGTAATGTGCATTGGTGCTAACATAATGCCTTGGTCATACTGTTACTATTATTACTATCCCTATAAATGACCTGCCCAACAACCTAGCCTGGGTATTCCCCAAATTCCTCATCCTCCAGTGACTTTCTCCTACACCCCAGAGTT